GGTCGTCCAAACTACGATTCAAGGGTGAAGTTTTAGCAACTCTTGCTCGATTGGCCAAGAGATCGACCTTGGTAGGTTGATTTGAAATCTATTGGCCTTGCGACCGAGAGAGTGACGTTTGTTCACTTGTTGCACTCGCTACGGTTTACAACCGCTTTTACCACACATTTGTATTCGATCCAACAAATAATGATTGCTAGCAAGGGGAGCAACACCCGAGTGAAGTCTTCTCAATTAGTGTTCAAAACCATTTACTTTTCCAATCGCTTTAGTTATAAAACATAGTTTTATTCCAAAACCATTTGCTAGATAATGTTTCAAACCATTGAAGTAGGGGTACATGGACGGGCCCCGGTTTGACTTTTAAAACATACTTGCCCTATATTGTACCCGGTTAAGGTTTATACTTGGGCCTTAATCGAGATTTTTATTGTGATATTCGGGATGAGTCATGGCTCATCTCTTGCTCCGGATGAGTCTGCATCGTCCAAAGCTAAGTCTAATTGGGCTATTTCCAATGCCCAAGTTATTTCTTTTCTCTTTTCTTCTGTTGAGATGGGGGTGTCATTGAGTTTGAGGAGCTTGACGACTGCTCATGCTATGTGGAAGCATCTTCATGGCATTCATTCACAGATCGATGCGTCCCGGAAATTTGAACTTGAGTGTGCCATAGCTTCTATTCAATAAGAAGATATGGATGTGCACACGTACTACCAGAAGGCTCTCAATCTTTGGTCGGAGCATGATATGATTACCTCGTCCATGCACTCTGTGGCTACCTCTGCTGAAGTTCTGAAGGAGCGTGCTGGCTCTCGCCTTATGTACTTTCTCATGCGCCTTAACCCGGCGTTCGAGGGTATTCATTCCTCTATGCTCCATCGCAATGTCGGCACGATTGAGGTGGTGTTACCTAAGCTCGTTAGGGAGGAGACTCATCTATGTAGTTAAGCGAAGATGGATATCCATTCTACTTAGTCTAGCAGTGTGTTTGAGGCCACTCGGGTCATCCTCAATTTGGTCGCACACCTTCTGGCGAGATTATTTGCCATCATTGTAAAGATTCTAGGCATATTCAACTTCGGTTTCCCAAGCGTCATGCCTGTAACTACTGTAAGGCGATAGGCCATGTTATCAGCGACTGTCCCATTCTTGCTTAGCGGGGACGTGTCGTGATGGCCATTCTGGTGGTGGGCCATCAGTTGGGTCTTCAACAGGCTCCGGGGGCTATCGCCCTGCTATTGGTCGCTCATCCTTCGGTGTAGTGTATACCACCACCATAGCTCCAGCTGGCATTGATGGGTCGTCAGGTGTATCCTCCGTCGAGATTCGTTGCTTGGTTTGGAGGCCCTCCAGGTGTCTGTCCCTTCAGCTCTCACCGCTGCCTTCTCTATGGGTACAGTTTCTAAACTCTTACACTGTAGCATCTTGACTCAGTTGCGGTGAATGACATGTCTAGTGCTTAGTCTGTGTTCACTTCTATTAGGCCGCAGTTTGGTATTCATTTATAGGTTGCGAATGGTTCTCATATTTCTATTGAGGGTATTGGTCATGTTCAGGATTTACGGTTATCTCTTCCTCATACATTCTATGTTCCGAAACTTTCGCTTAACTTGATCTCAGTGGGGAAATTAGCTGATGATAGGTATCGTGTCATCTTTGATGCTCATGGTTGCGTTGTGAAAGACATGAAGACGGGCTGGGGAGGTGATAGGCCGAGGGAGTAAGGAGGGTCGGATTTTCCTCCTTGATAGCTACGAGCAACCGCCGGTGGATCGTGCTCATCAGGATGTGGATCATGGTGGTACTTCTTTGGCCGTCGAGGTTGTTGGTCGTGCAGATGCTAGTCACACAAATCAAAGGAGGAGTTTTCGTTCAGTGGATGATGTTTTGCAGTCATATTCCTTCGTAGACAGTTCTGGATATTCTGTTAAGTTATAAAACTGGGATTTATGGTATTTTCGGCTTGGCCATCCACATAAAACTCGGCTTTTTTAGATGTTTAAGAGAAAGTGGTTGTCCAACATGATTCATTATATTCCTTATCATGAGTTTGTCCATTGTGTCAAGGCTAAAATTTCTAAAAAATCTTTCTCTTTTAGCTTGACAGAATATGCGAAACCATTTTATCTTGTGCACATTGATCTGTGGGGGCCATCCCTAGTGACAGCACGCCTAGGTTTTGGGTATATTTCCTCAAACCAAAGTCTAAACTGTTTGACGTGGCTCGTGACTTCATTTAGATGGTGTCCACACAGTTTGGAAAAGTTATTAAGATTTTGCGGTCTGATCCCGGTGGAGAGTTCTCTTCTCATCCTTTACATGCGTTATTCCGTGAGAAGGTTATTCTTCCACAACAATCCTACCCTGGTGTTTCTCAATATAACAGACTGGTTGAGAGAAAGCATCATCATGTTCTAGAGGTGACTCGAGGCTTCCTATTTCACTCGTATGTTCCTGCCCGATTTTGGTTTGAAGCGATTCACTCGTAGGTTCTAGTTGACTCAAGCCCTCCTATCACCTCAGTTCTTGGCCAACACAGTCTGTTTCAAGCTCGCTACTCTCGCCCTCCCAACTATGCATGGCTTCTCGTCTTTGGTTGTGTCTTCTATGTTTTATTATCTCGACCAGAACGCCACAAGTTATCTCCCAATGCAGCAAGGTGCGTATTTCTGGGTTATAGGGGCAAACATAAGGGCTATGCTTGTTACGATGTTGCAGCTCGACGTCTCGACATCTCGTGCCACGTTGTCTTCTTAGAGCATGAGTTCTACTATGCTTCAGCTGATTCTACTCAGAGTTCCCACCTTGACTTCCTCACATCTATTCCTAGTTTTCCTTCACTTCCCATTACTGCTACTGACGATGTTCCGCCAACTCTTCCCTCGACAGCTGCATCTAAATCCATGTCCTCCTCTACTTTGTCCACAAGTGAGACGTCCTCATCTGAGTCTTCAGGTGATTCATCAGATGACTCCTGGGCAGCAAGTGCGGAATCCGAGACTTTTTATGGAGGTCTACGTCAGCGACGCGTGGACAGGCTCTTGCTCACCACTCTGACTTCGTTTCCTTCTCCACTATGGCGCCTGTCTTTTTTCCAGCTACATATAGAACGCAATGACCACTGTGGTTGATGCACTTGAAGCCCAACATACTTGGGATCTTGTCCCCCGGCGTCCTGAGATGCTCATGATCGGCTCCAAGTGGGTTTATTCTATCAAGAGTAGCATAAAGCAAGGGTGGTCGCGCAAGGGTTCAAACAACATTATGGCGTGGACTACGATGAGACATTTTTGCCCCTATTGCCATGATGCAAACTGTTCGTAGTCTATTTGTTCTTGCCTCCATGAAAGGTTGAAAGTTGGTCCAACTGGATGTCAAGAATGCCTTCTTACACGGCGACTTGAAGGAAACCATTTATATGGAACGTCCTCCAGACTATACTAAAGGCTACAGCTCCATGCTATGCTTGCTACGACGTTTTCTGTATGGCCATAAACAGGCGCCTAGGGCGTGGGTTGAGATACTCCAGAGTACGATTCTGCATGTTGGTTTTGTTGAGAGTGACAATAATCCATCCCTTTTTCTTTGTAATACAACACGTTGTCTTACTGTTGTGTTGATATATGTTGATGATATGGTGCTGAGTGGGGATGATCAGGAAGGAATTGAGTCTCTCACTACGACATTACGTGAGGCCTTTAATCTTAAGGAGCTTGGCGACTTATCATATTTTTGGCCTGGAGATTGATCTATCAGCTAAGGGTATTCATGTGAGTCAACGTAAGTATGTTGAGGATCTATTGGAAGAAGCTCATATGGATGTCTGTGATCAGAGTGGTACTCCTATGGAACAGAACTTGAAGCTGCGTCAATCTGATGGGGATTTGCTGGATAATGGTACGAGCTATCGTAGCATTGTTGGGAGTCTCATATATCTTATTAATACTAGTCTTGATATCGCCTATGCAGTTTATGTTGTTAGTCAATATATGGCGGCTCCTCGTACGTTTCATTCCATTGTTGTTCAGCAGATTCTCCGATATCTCAGGGGTACGCTAGATGTGGGGCTCTTCTTTCCTACTGATGGTGACCCAATCATGACAGCATATGTTGATGCTGATTATGATGGTTGCTCGGATACTCGTCGTTCGACCTCCGGTTGGTGTTTGAAAGTTGGGCATTCTTTTCTCTCGTTGCGTTGTAAGAAACAAGATAGAATTCCCAAATCCTCCACCGAGGCGGAGTATCGGTCTATGAGTGAAGTCACGTCGGAGGTGGTGTGGTTGCGGCATTTATTGGCCGAGTTGGGGGTCTCCTATACTGCACCTACTCGCCTTTTTGCTGATAACTCGAGCGCCATCAAGATTGCTACCAACCTAGTAGTTCATGATCGTACGAAACATATTGAGGTACATGCCAATTATATTCGTCAGTTGGTTATGGATGGCGTACATTCCTTCTGAGGATGAGCCGACGGATCTCCTCACCAAGGCAGTGGCTTCAGCTCGTCACTTGTTTATAGCACAAAAATTGATGTTGCGTCATCACCATTAATTTGAGAGAGGGTGTTAGAAACTGTATTAGTTTGGGTACTATTTTGTAATTGTCATTGTACATATTATGTAAAACATTGGTTGTAGGGTTTGGGAGGGCCGTTCATATATAAAGCTCTTCGATGGCTACATGTAGTTGGATTGTGAAGACTACTGAATAAGAGAACCGATTGCCTTGTGCCGTTGACTAAACCTCGTGAATCTTGTGTTCTGTGTTCATTTATGATTCCAAATTGCTTGGAAATTGACACGACTCAAAATGAGGTCTGCTATGGTATTCCCGAAGACATTTAATGGAGATCCTCGTGGAAGGCCTGAACCTGAGGTTCACCTATTTGATCAAGTAGGTGAGCCTCAAGTTTGGTTTCGCTCTAATATCACCCTAGCGGTGTGTGGGGATGTTACTGGGTTATAAAAAAAAAAAAAAAAAAAAGAGAAGGACCCACACGGGAAGAGAGAAGCCGTGTTACGTTCGGTGAGACTTCTGTGAGATAATAATTAATAAAGAAAAAAAAAAGACTACCCAATGCGAATATCAGCAGCGTGGGGGCAGGCTGGAGGAAGCAAGTACACATACCTAAATGCCAAGAAATTTCCTGTCGGAGCTCTAGAGCTCTTTTTATTCACCGATCCACCGGTGTCATAGTAGTAGATCTCTAGCTAGCAATATGCAATCTCCATCGAAGGAAAATCCCGACCTCTCTGCGGTACCAACGCCGCCATCAGATTCCCGTCGAGCGAAAGAGGTTGCCCGTGGTCAGTCAATGGAGAAAGTTGACCTGCCATTAAAAGGCTCCGGTACTGCTAGGAAAAGCAGAACAGCAGCACTGGCAGTGATCTACGCCGCAATGACTTCCCTGTGGGTATTAAGCAGCATGTATCTGCATCCGGCGGTACAGCGCCTGCCTCCGCCGCCGCCCCCGTGGCGGTACCACGCCTTCCTCAACTTCCGGGGGCTGGACCTCCGCAACTCCTTCTCCGACCACCTCTACTCGGCGCTGAAGCGGAGCGGGGTCAGGGCTTTCCGCGACGACAAGGACATGCCACGCGGCGCCAACATCTCGGAAGCGCTCCTCGCGGCGATTGAGGCGTCGATGATCTCCGTCGTGCTGCTGTCGAGCAACTACGCCTCGTCGCCGTCGTGTCTCGACGAGCTGGTGACCATCTTGCGGTGCAGGCACAAGATGGCCCACCGCCCGCTCCCGGTGTTCTACCAGGTGTCGCCGGAGGACGTGCAAGACCAGTCTGGGCCGTTCAAGCGCGACTTCGACGATCACAAGGACATCTACACGTACAACAGAGTCGACGGCTGGATCAAAGCTATGCAGGCGGTTGCCGATTTAGCAGGCTGGAATCTCGAGCGCCATAAGTATGCTCTCTTTCTCCCCCAATGAATTAATTAAATACCTCTTCAATTATTGAATTACTTACATTGCTATCTGTGGACTACATAGCAGTTTATTTTCCAAATTTGTGCCTTTTACTGTTTTTAATTATTTTGGTACTTAAAAATCTTTATTGTTGAAAAGTTCCATGAGGACGATTTTGTCTGCAGAGAGTTAGACAGCAAAAATGTGATTCATCGTATAGTATTATGCGCCTCTTTTTACAAGGCAATATTATGCGCAATGAGACAAGGCCTAACTAGTCTAATTAACAAAATTAGCTGGATCAAGTTTCAAATGGTCATCACCCTGCTATTCAAATAATTAATGCAAGTGTTGCATTGTGATATCAACCAATTGTTGCAGTGTACCATTTGAATAATTCATTTTAGCAGATTGTTTAAGTTGACGAAACTTCTTACCGTCTTAGTCGTTATTTATATACAAGTTATTGTGAAAAAGGACAAAAGACAGCTCATTGTCAAATGTTTGGTAGTTAAGGTAGGGATGAAAGTAATATATCTTTTCCATGAATAATCATATTGAATTCTTTATTATATATAAAACACAAAAATTGTAGCACTTACAAACGAAACATCGTACACATAGTTAGAAGAAATGTATTCCTTTCGTAAATCTTTTCATTTACTAAAAGACATTATATAAAATAAATAATTTTATTCTTTTTTTATGATTATTGACGTGCTATTAAACATACCATTAGTTTAGAGACAAAATAAAATATTTGTACTTATTTTATACATAACCCGTAACGTATTTTAATAACAATAATTGTGAACACATATTAACTTCAAATTGCCCTGCGCACATGCAGTTCTGAAGCAGAGGCGGTAGAAATAATAGTGAGCCGGGTAGTGGAAGCAATTCATTCATCGGTAAAGGAGCGTCAACTCCAAACATCATCACCTACTGAAGGTACGCACAAATTGAATTCAAAACTCTGTTTTTGACGTACTTCTTATCAAACAATCGCATGCTGCTCATAGAAGTTGATTCTCAATGCGACGTTCCTTTCTCTTTTGTTTATGAAGATGGAAAGGTCATCGCCAGCGTCCGCAAGGTACTGACCTCCGATTTTATCCGGGAGCTAGTCACGAGGAAACCAGGTGAAGGACAGATGTGTAAACGTTGATTAGAGTCGCTGGGGTGATGATGATGACTTCCACGAGTTCATGAGTCACTCGGCGTTGAGTCATTTTTTTTCTTCTTCCTATTTAGGTTTGCTGTTGAAGGCGAAAGCTAGCTTAGTAGAGGACCTAGTAATTGATAACCTAGTTCTAAGTTATGATGGGAATATAAGACATTTCCTCAATCGCGATTATTAGAACAAGATATGGTGCAAACCATATATAGCGAGGTGTTAGTGTTACCATGCAAAGTTGCAAACCATACGATGATGTATGTTCTCATGTATAAGGTGGCAATCCATAATTAGCCACTCGAGTCCTAGTTGACGTTGTATGCGGGGTCTTGTATATATTTTCATGTATGCGGAGTCCTAATTGCAATCCGGCCAAATGTGAAGTTTACTTTGGTGGGGAATCAGTGCTGTACAAAAGTAATGCCCTTGCTCTTACAGGTTTTCAAGATGGAAAATTACCGGTTAGATATCTAGGATTGCCACTCCTGGCTGGCAAACTGTCATCCACAGAAATTGATATACTGGTGGAGAAGATCACAAAACGCATCAAATCCTAGCGAGCTAAGAAACTTACATATGCAGGAAGGCTCCAGCTGCTGAACTCTGTACTTCTAGGCATAGTACAATATTGGATGCAGTTGTTCATTTTGCCTAAGCAAGCTCTCAAACAAATTCAAAAGCTCTGTTCTCAATTCTTATGGCATGGGAATGATGAAGGTAAGGCAAAAGTGGCCTGGGAATATGTTGCACTTCCTAAACAGGAAGGGGGTTTGGGAGTGAAAGACTTGGGTGCTTGGAATCAGGCATGCTCCATCCGGTTGCTTTGGCTATTTCTAATGAACTATGGGACTCTATGAGTTGCGTGGATGAATGAGTATAAGTGCAGACAGCAGGATTTGTGGTCATTCCGAGTGCATTATAGCAGCTCCTGGGCCTGGAGGAAGCTGCTGAAATTGAGAAATGTGATCTCCCCCTGGATGAAGAAACAAAATGACACTGTTTTTTGGGACTCAAAAGAGATGAAGATTTACTCAGTTCGTAGGGTATGGGAAACCTTGAGAAACAGGGCTCCTAAAGTCTCTTGGTATAATCTTGTTTGGGGCAGAAATTGCCCTCCACTCATCAGCTTGATTGTCTGGCTCATCATGAAAGCAGCCATTGTGACAAGGGACAAGTTGCAGAAGTGGGGTAAAATCAGGGATGCTTTCTGCCCACTCTGTGGCTTGGCAGTGGAAAATAGAGACCATCTCTTCGTTCACTGCTCATTTTCGCGTGGTCTTGTTGCTGCACTGAAGTGCAATCTCCTGCTGCACTCGGACTGGGAGGCAATGGTAAGCTCGATGATTCAAGTAGGCAATGCTAGAACAAGAGAATGACATGTCTTGATATGGTGTTTGTTGCTGACATTTATCTGGAGGGAGCGATGTGGTGTGGTTCATGGATCATCCTGTCGTTCCCCAGAACAGGTAGCAGATTTGATTAGAATGGATCTGTTCTTCATTTCCTGTGGGAACAGAGGGATCAGGGACGCTAATGGGGGTAGAATACCTTTAGGTTCCTTTTTCTTTTTGGTAGTTATATAGAATTCATAGTAGCAGATAGTAGTGAGAGTGTGAGTTAGTTTGTTGTTCCACTCGAGATTATTATCTTGTCTCGTTGTATCGGTTTCTTCTTGGAATAAAAGCAACTGATTCAACGGAAAAAAATTAATTAACCCATATAGTTATCTAAAAGCAAAATGTTTTTATTAAATTTAATTATGGAACTATGAATTTTCATCATAAAATAACCACGAGTCTTAATATATCATGTAGGCACTCTAATACTACTATTAATATCAACCTACAGATCTCACGTTCAAAGTCTTAACTTCCCCTGACCCCACATACCCCCTTCCGTGGCATGTAACAAATAAGAAACTATCCCTAAAATCATATAATTAAATACTGTTGTGGGACAATCCAAGTACCACATCGGTAATACAAGGGAAGGAACCCTTCTATATTAGAGTCCACTTAGCCCAATTAGTACAAGGCTTTTTGGGGGGGACACCCAAGAGTAAAACCGTGCGGGTTTGGCCCAAAGCGGACAATATCGTACTAATTGAGCAGGCCCCGTTATGACAAGTGGTATCAGAGCCTGATTCATTTCGGGGCGGTAGACGTTAGTTTGGTGGACCCTCATTCGGTGACCTCGGGATGTGAGATCTGCGTCTGGTTTGGTGGATCTATGACAATCGATTTCGCGCAAAAAACTTACTTCTTACTACTTTACTTTCCTGTCGAACAAAAGGCCGCGCGTCGTGTCGAAAACATGCCGGTAGGCAGTATTGGTAATATCATATAGAAATAGAAGATCCACTCCCATGTTTTTCTTGGGTGAAACCCAAGTCAAAAGGTTGGTTGAAGAGAGTTACAAACTTGAATTTCCTGGAATTGAGATGGATTGCCGAGGAAACAGAAATGAACGACCTATTTATAGGCGCCTCCTGCTCCTGGCGGGGTGGCGTATTCTTTATTGTTTTTAAATAAAGCATAATAATTAACTAATTAACAATTTAAACAAAGGTTAAGTAACTCACCTTGGTGGAGTAATTGCTTCCTTCTTCTCCACGTATAGTTAGGGTAAACGATGAATGGTAAACTTCTCCACGTGGAATGGAAATGGGTTGTTTGGCATAGGAAACTAGATGATTAATCATGTAATCATCTCATGTTCATGTGTCCAGAGGAAAAGTTGGGTGGCCTTATTTAAGCAAGAAACTAAATGTAATCCAGCAAACAATTCTCCCATTGGCCACGTGTTAACAAAATGAGATGGGTTGCTCAAAGGAGCTTCCTTCATTTGCTACGTGCACACCACTAGAGAAACTCTCAAGTGGTGGTTAATTAAGGTGATTAAGCTTGGTCTATACCCACGTGTCACAAAGAGGGATTGCCATGTTATTAGAATCTACGTGTAAGTGACGGGACTTGAAGTGGAAGCTTATTACCCAACCATGAAGAATAGAAATGGAGGTGGATTCTTAACATAATTTTCTCATTAGTTCCACATGTAATTGGTTTGTTGGGTGAGAGATGAGAGATGTTGGCTTTATAGGACACATTTCCCATGCTTGGCCACGTGGAATAACTTGGGGTGATTTTGGGGAGGTGTTTATTTGGTTGGGCTCAAAGAGAAGTGGTGGTAAAATTAACCTTCCATCTTCCACAAACCCACGTGTAGCTAATAGGGTTTCCCCTCCAACTAACTAATCTGAATAATTCTTTCTTACACATGTAAAGGGAAAAGTGATTCATGTACATAGATTGGTGGGTAATTGGCACATCATCTTTACGTGGCCATGAATGGAGGTTATTCATATACCCCTAGAGTGAATAAGGAGAGGTTTATGGGATACGTGGCAAGAGATATACCTAGGAGGAGTTGGTTGTGAAGGATCCACCAATTGCCCCCTTACTAATAGGGTTATGACCGAGATGTAACCCATTAGTAAAAAATGGATTTAATAAGGATGCAATACCCCAGCGACAGCCTATAAATAGAAGTGCAGAGGGTCTTCTTCATTTATCCATCCCTCCCTCCATTGGTGCCATACCCTTGCTCCCTGTTACTCCCACTAAAAAGACCACCTCTCCACTATTAACCCCTCTTTCTCCTCGTTGTGTGAACTAGAGGAAGCTAAATCCCTATTTTAAACTTAGGTAATTCTTCCTCCCTACAATCTATGTTAATTGTAGATTACTACCTATAGACTTCCAATTCAACCAGTCGAGATGGATACAACGGATTCTCAACTGCATGTTGAGATCGGTCAAGGTTCAACTCCAAACCCTGAGCAAACTCTACCATCCCAAAGGGTTGAAGATTTGCAGGCTGAAATTGAGCGACTTCGTGCTCAGATTCGGTCTGCAACGGAGGCTCCACAACCACTACCGGTTCCTCTACCAACTTTCTACGGGAGTACGGGAGTCCCTAGATCCTCCAACAACCATTATAATGGCATTCCGGCAACAACTGAAGCAGCGGCCCAAGATGTCCCCCCAATTGTTCCTCACGTCAAAGAACTTCCTCCCCCGGGGACGTTTTCTCAACCAAGTACCGGTCGCCCCCTTGCTTTGGCCATTCTAAATGAGCCGTACCCGGGAAACATCCATATACCCAACCTTCCGGAGTACAATGGCACCACCGACCCAGAAGATCATCTCAGTTCCTTTGAGATTTTGATGCCTCTTATTGGTGCCTCTGACGCCACCATGTGTAAAATATTTCCCGCCACACTTGGAGGGGACGCTCGTCGATGGTACTCTCAGCTTCGTAATGGTATCATCAACAACTTCACCGAATTTTCCACACTGTTTCGGTGCAAGTTTTATGCCCAAAAGCGACAAGCAGTGAGCATCAATCAGCTCATGAATACCAAGCAACGAGAGGGTGAGGCTTTAAAAGCCTATTATGCTAGGTACAACACCTTGGCTATAGGCGTCACTTCCCTCTCTGTTGAAGTAATTGTCAACACGCTGACACGAGGAACAACAAACAGTCTTCTTCGGGCTTCCCTCATCAAGAAACCCCCTCGGAGTATGTTTGAGCTACAGGAGCGGGTCATGAAGTACATCGATCTAGAAGAAGCTTTACAAGATTCCTCTTACGTTGTGCCAAAGCGTAGGAGGGATTCGCCTCCGCCAAACCGATTATGGTTCGCCTGTTCAATTTATACTTGATTCATTGAATGAAAATGAGTATTGGATTTAAATAGAAATGTAAAAAAGAAAATGTACATACCTTTCATCATCGTAGTTTTATTTTTCTTGAAAATCAAGAATTTTTGGCAATTATCACTCTGTTTTCTTACTATACACGTATATATCTAACTCCAAGTTTATTTTACATATCTAACTCCAAGTTGAAAACCTAATCGTAGATTTCTTACCTAATCAATCGGGAAAATAAAAACAAATATAAAATAGAAATGATAATGGAATAATATAAGTAAGCAGCTCGATCAATATCCAATAACATGATACAGTACAAGAGCACTTCTATTATACTATAAAGTATTGGTGTTTTAATATAAAACTTGAAGTTTATCATGACATTACATATATAATTCAGATTGTACCATAAATGAATTTGTACCATAATGTTATGGCACAATAAAAGAATTTGTACAAAAGAGTATATGTACAATATGAAATTATACCATAATATTAAAGATACAACTTCAAATTATACCCTAAAAGCAAAAACCTATAACACTAATGCTATATAGCATTGTACAATTGCTCTCACTACAAATGTGAAGTGCCCAAAAAAGTGGTTATATCATGACATTTCTGTAGGCTAGACATTAGAGTTGTGGAGATATATTTGCAGATTTGGATATAGTAAAAGGAATAGGTAAATACAATTTATTAACCAAACCTTTCATTTTAAACAAAATAATAGTCAAACCTTTTAAAACCAATTTATTATCCAAATCGTTAACTTTCCATCCGGTCAACCGTTAGTTAACTCTGACGTGGCAAAATTCTTCATGACTCGGAAATTTTATGATGACGTGGAATGAAAGTTAAACTTTTGACTTTCCCCATGGATATTAATTAAATTTACATAATAATTTATTTTTATAGGGAAATAGATAAATTATAATTCAAAAGAACCCATAAATCTCATCCACCTCATTCTTCTCTCCTGTCAATTCGTTTCTCACATTTGCATTGCCTCGTCGCCGAACCTCCCTCGACTCGACCCCAAATCAGAGACAAAGTGAATGGCCAGTATCACCATCTAGCACCAAGTCGACCCAGATCAGGCGCGTTCCGATTCCAGATCCAAAAACCCTCTTCTTATCTACGTTGGTGGCGACAAAGGGATGGGAGAACCATTGAAGTTCTTGAGGTCCAAATCCCTAAACCCAGAAATCCCCAATTTTCAGTTCTTCTATCCCAATCTCGATCTTCCCTAAGCTGGAACAAGAAAACCATTTCAAACCCACATTCCATATCTTAAAATTTCTTCCTTCCACCCTTCCTAAAACTAAGTCTCTACTACTAAACACTAACCCAAACCTCCCAAAGCCAAGAAAAAATATTGGAGACAAGATAATAAGCCAGCGGCAGGTAGATTCGTGGGGAGGTAATTTTTTATCCCACTTCTTCACAGAGCATCGTCTCTCTGGTGCCTTCAAAGGTGAGACTGGTTTGGTGGGGGCGTCGCCGTTGCCTCCCTGTATCGAAGAAGATAAGAAGAGGAGCAAAATCAATACATCAGGAGGCGAGAGGAACTCGGGGAATTTGTCAAGAGCGTCGTCGCTGCCGTCGTGGATAGGGAGGGAAGAAGAGGAAAAAGAATCGGATGGGGAAGAGAGTGGTATGAGTATGAGTAGATTGATTTAACAGACCATGTCCAGGCCGAGTGCATACTGATGTTGAAGAGTGCCAAGAGGCGAGGAGCGATTCTGGGTCGTCGGTGACGACGGACGTGAGGGAGAAGAGAGCTAGGGATTTTGAAAATATGCGAGCAGAGGAAGAAGAGATAGGGAGGTGGAATTGTGCGCGACATTGTGGCTACCAGATGACTCTTTTATTTTCTAAAAATAAATTTAAGAAATGATAAAAGATTTACTGATGTGTCCCAAGTGAAAAATTTTCATTGACTGTCACATCACACATTTTGTCACGTCACTATCAACTAACGGTTGACCGGATGAAAAGTTAACGGTTTAGCTAATAAATTGTTTTTGAAAAGATTTGGTTATTATTTTGTTTAAACTGAAAGATTTGGCTAATAAATTGTATTTATCCAAAGGAATAAAATGAAAGGGAAAAAAGGCTGTTGGGTTAGTTGCGTCATGCGTTGGTGGGGTGGGGACTAGGTGGGGCTAGCGATGGATAAATTTAGCGGGGCATGAAAAAGTGAAAGGTGGCTTTTAATTGTGGGCTTCAAGCCTTCAATTGATGGACTTTATTTCGCAAGAATAAAAGTGGCCAGTACTATGGTACCGCTATTAAAAATACGGCACTGGTAACACAGCTTCTTATTGGTCCACATGAAATGTGATGTGACATAAGCTGAATTCATTAAACCCAACCCAATTTTTCTTCACAAGTTTTGGGGCAGCAACTTTGCTAGGGTCACGTAAGAGATCAGAACCTGTAAACTCATTGAATGTGCGTAGGGCATCATCAAAAGCAGGGCTAGGAGAGAGGATACTAGAAGGACGTAGTAGCTTAGCCTGCAACCCAGCAGACTGCAGACGAGATGCCAAAAAATCATAGTGCAGGACATCTCCAGCCGCATATACCCCAAGCCCACCCAAATGAAAAGGGAAGGTGGCAAGTTGCCATTGCCAATCACTGAACCCTGGCCCAGAAGCAGTGACAATACGTTCTAAACTAGAACGAAGGGTTGTGTCAAAAAAGAGCTGGGTCGGCCCTAAAACATGAGGGTAGCAAGTACGCAAAGCAAAGTAGAGTTTTGAAATACCAGTGCAAGTCCGAAGCAAAAGCAACTCACATTGTGGGTCATCAATCCTCGCAACCAAGTCCATCAGCTCTATGGTCCTGGTAATTCTCTTCGCCATGAGGTCAATGCTAAAATTAGGACAATTACTGACAGGCCCTCCCAGAACGGTGACACCATGATAAGGTCGAGCAATAGAAGCTAGAAAAACACCCAAAATTCGACTCCTTGGATCCTCAATAGGCCAAAAAAATCTCTGTCTTATCCACAATTAGGTGAAGCCCAAAACGAGGGCCCTCATCCATAATCATGTCTAAGACTTTCCCTACAACCAAAGTATCCCCCAAAATAGTGCCATCATCAAAGTATCAGGCCTGCAAACTCAGGTCAAAGGAGTCTCTAATCCTGCACACTAGAGGATGCAACACCGAAACAAAAAGCAGAGGGCCCAAAGGGTCCCCCTGCTGAACCCCCTGGTAAGACCATAAGTTATGCTCCCCATAATACAGTCGGGCAGGGGTAGAGTAACAGAACTCTACCCAACGGGAAAAGAATCGGGCACCTACGTCGAACTTCCTGAAGCGTAACTCCACGATCAACTAAATTGAAAGCATTCTGAAAATTGACCAGCAACATAGAAAGACCAACGTCACCACCACGGGTCTCAACTAACCGGTTCAAGCCATGCAAAATAGCCTCTCCTCCACCAGAAACACCAACCCCAAACCGAAGACCATCAAAATAGCCAGATAAAGAAGGGCCCACCAGACAAGCACCAACTTTAGAGACAAGACGTCTCCAAATAGTGCCAACAGCTATAGGGATTGATACCACCCCCTGGCTTAACAAGCGGCGTGAGCGGAGCGCTAGCAATGTACTCACTAAGGATATGCGAGCATCGACCCTCAAGGAAAAGATTAACCACCCGAGTAATAGAGGCGACCGAATCGTCCGAGATAGCAACAGTAGCTCCACCCAGACAATCCATAAGATGTTGAGCCCGAAAACCATCCCTCCCACAAGATGTACCACTTGGGAAGCTCCTAATCATATCCAAAATAGTAGCTGAAGAGGAAACAAGAGGATGATGATCCACGGGTAAAGTCGAAAGAGAGGGAGATGGGGCGACAGGATGCTATCTTGCAGAGCTACAAGAGTGGCATCAGAATAAGGGGCAATGTCGGATGAAGAAAGCACCCGAACAGCAGCAGCATAATGCCCATCACAAATCTTCCTCCGACATTGTCGAAGGTTGAGCTCACTCAAATCGAGATCCTCCTCCATAGCAAATGAAGGTGGAACCTCATCTAAGGTCTCTCACAAAAGCTTCAAACCGCTACTAGCCCCCCAATCAAGAATAGCACTAGTAACACTCTCCTCCTGACGAAGGCGTCTAACCGCGGATCGGTACTCAAGATTACTCCACGGAGAAAAGGTCTTAAGCACACAAAGAGGTAACACAAGTAAGCAGATCCAGCAGGAGAGGTCACCAGGAGAAACACCCACATCATCCAAAGCACCTTTCAGAGCCCGCGCGAACCCAAGACGACACTTAGGAGGGCTAGATTTCACAGTGCGAAGACCCATAGAGAACAAACGATCAAGCAAAGAGATAGACAAACCCACAAGCTCCACCCTAGCATAAGATGAGATAACCAACAAAGACAGAGATGGAGGTCTGGGAATATCATAAATAATAAAATTAACAAGGTCGTCATCGCAATCAGGAGGCTCCATAACAACATCCCCATCGTGCCGACATTTAGAACGGAAAGAGTGAGTTTGAAGGCAAACCCCACAAAGCCAAACCCCCATCTGCTTTAGAGTAGTTTCAGCATTAGAAAACACCGGCAAACTATCAGAAAGATTCTGGCGTGTAAGAGCCATAGCTTCACCGCGATAATACCAATTTCTAAAGTGCTGGAGCATAGAGGATTTAGTAAGATCCCTGCCTCGACCATCCTGACACCCATGTAGACCAATGAAAGGGCAATGATAGCGAACAAGAGTGGGCATTTATGTTGTTGCTGCGTAAGAGCAACTGGGTATTGCTGCTCTCCCACTGAGCTTGATTCTCCCTATTTCTCAATTGAAGTGATTCATTAGGGTTTCAGCTCAAGATTATTAATCAATCTTGGCGGCCAGAACACTGGGGGCAGGGAGAAGCTCCTCCGACGGGATCATAGCCATAATCAAGTTACATAATCAAAATCAAGAAATCCCCTTCCGCTAGGCAATTTCCAAAAATAGCTATTATTACCTGCTGATCTTCTCGTCGTGCCGTGTACCAGCTGCTTCCTTCACTAGCCTTTTTCTCCCCTCTTTCGCATCAAAAGTTAGCGCCGTCGATCTCACCTACGGATATCCATGAACCCGCGGATACCCAGCGGGTTGGGTTTGAGTTTTTCAATCCAACGGGTTTTAACCTGGATTTTTTTGGCGGATAAACCCATGGGTTTTAGTTTGGCAAAACCCACCCGAACCCAACCCATTGCCATCCCTATTTCCAAAGAGGAAGCTCGACTTTGGAAGAGTTCTGGTGTAGGGGAGAGAAAAAAATGGGGGTCATGGGATTCGAAATCCAAACCTCGTTAATCTACAGTGAACGTTTTTCGCTGGGATTGAGGAGGTACCCGCGTGTTACGTTTTCGGAAACAGGTATTTGTTGTTTTCTGCTTGCTGTCCCATTTATTGCCATACGATTTTTTCAAATATAATAGAATGGTAAGTGACCACTTTTTTCCATATGTGTTTCCTAATTTTTGTTGGGACAACGAATAAATAGGAAACAAAATGGCAAGTGAACGGGGCATTTTGGGTTTAAAATTTGTAGTTTAGTTTTTAGGATTAGGGTTTATAATTGAAGGTATAGGGCTTAAGGTAATACATTGAGTACTAGTTACGTTCCTATGTTATATGATTCATATTAGACTAGTACTTCCCATTAAAACTTCAAAGTCGGTATTATAAGAGTAATTTTAGAGATGAGTGCATAGTCTGCACTCTTTCTTATCGGTATATACATGGAAATGAATAGCATACGTTTTTGTACTTTGACAAATCAAATCATCGATTATTATTTTTAAAATTGATTTTCATATTCGTGTTTGGATAATTGAGCTATAAGGTTTATTCATCAGCGGCTGACGTTTAAAGCTATTCCCCATACTCGATCTAATTCATGATTTGAATATAAATAATTATTGTATATTTCAGAATTACAATATATATTTAATAAGGACATTAATTACCCATTCTCATGTAGTCATGTTGTTAAAACCAGCAATAGGAGATCGACGTGCGTGGACCGCAACACTAGTCCTCAAAACATGCCATGAGCCCAAGATTGACAATAATTCTTATCAATATAAAACTAACCATACCCATAAACTTGTATGAAAATAAATAAACAAGCCGTTGATCCAGGTCCAGCCACATGTTCATTTGGAATAATGATAATATAACCCTTAAAGATAATCAACTAGTCCCCTCTTCTTTTTTTTTTTTTCGATAAAACATTTATTTTCAGTTTTCCTTCCTTTAAAAAAATTGTTTGGACCCTTACATTATATATGTGATTTAAGTTCAAAATATATTATTCCTATAACCACACAAGAATTATAACTTCTACTTATGTATTATGATCCAATTTCATTTCATAAGTTAGAGATCCCTTTTCTTTAATAAGCTTTATTGTTAGAAGTTTGTTATAAAGGAAATCATGAATGGTTATGATATGGCTACTTTTCCTACATCACTCATGCTTAATGTAGGGGACTAAGACTAATGAATGGTTATGCAGGCTTTTAATAAAGAAGATTAACGGTTGTGATTCTCTTTTCAGCTGGCACTCCAATCGTTCAATACTTATTTTTGTGAGATCCAATACTTTTTTTTCTATAGAAAGTACTATTAATCTACAAGATGTATAAAGGCAAAACATGGGTTGAAATTCTCCCATTTTAAATTTCGTGGTCTGAGAGCGATTCTATGAAGGTCATTTTTGTTATTGCACCCAGTTCATGTCTATATATTAAAAATGCTATCATTGGAGTTTGAATCCTGGTCAGTTAAGTGAAGAAAGAGCATTGTAACCAACTAGACTACATTTTATTTATTGTTACTTATTTGATTGAATTCTAGGAATGTGTTTGGTGATGATGCTTTTATACTTATATTTTATCTTAAGTTATTTATATTTTATATAAAGATATTCATTCTGAAATCGAAACTTAAGTAGTATTGATTCAACATTAATACTAAATTTTATGTATTGTTTAGTTCAGACAAAATACAGAAGTGTAACCAAAACATGGACCTTTGTGATGAGTATAATCATTTTTTTGACAAATCTACACATAATATAATGATAAAATTGGAAAATGAGAGTCTCATTTAAAATTTCATGGCCTAAGAGTGATAAAAATAAAACAAAATATTCTAAAAATAACATATAAAATTTCGATAAATGAGTAATTTCTCACATCAACGTATGACGACTCATATTCTAAAAGGTTTATAAAATACATTCATTGTTTATTTTGATACTCAAGCCTTTCAATGAATACAACTAAAAATTCATTTATAAAATCATTCTTGACTAACTTCATAGCTGAAAAAAAAAATTTTACAGCTTGCAGTAATAACAAACAACGTCAACAATAACTTTAGAAGTCAGTAAAGGGAGGAAGAAATGATTTAGTATTTCTTTGCAAATGTGTGTGAGGGGGGAGTTTTTTTTTGTCTAAAAAATTTGAGGAAGGGTTGAAACTCATATATTATTTGTTTGAATATTGCATATTGAATTGGAGTATTGAGCATTTTGGAAGCGATATATAATTCTTAAATTAGTATTAATTTTCAGCCCGGTTGACCAATAGCCTTAGACCTTTTGCTAATCTGACATGGATCCAATAATAATAATATGAGATTTAGTTTGATATGGCGTCGATTCAAAACCATTCTTATGTGTAATGAATTTGTACGAAAAATACATGTAACGTGAAGATGAACCTTATTATGAATTTTGATTCTCTAGAAAAATACAATGGTTTAAATCTTTAAGCGATGAACTAACTATAGACTCACTCGATTGGTTTTACGAGTTCTGCTTTTTATCACTTTTAATAATTAGTTTATTCCCAAGCTATCAAACTACTTTGCTTCGTCGATGAATAAGCGATCATCTATTTGCCAGGTTTCAAGTGCTCTGATTCACACTATCGATTCTGAATGGAGAAGAAGCATTTCGAAAGCAAAATTGGAGAATTAATTGAGATATTTCTAGGTTTCTCTCGATTCCAAGCGTTGGGAAGAAAGAGGAAGGGAAAGGGGGAGAGTTGTTAGATACAAAGCTGAGAGAGAGAGAGAGATGGAAAAACAAATGGAAAAACAAAGAGGAAGGCAAAGAGAGAGTGAGAGGACACATTTAAAAGAGGAGAAAAATGAGGTAGTGTGAAATAATTGTCCTTCTCTTTTGATTAGTGGGTATTCTTGGCCTTATTCTGTTGAGTTTTGATTTATTTTAGGAGAAGACATTATATTTGACATATTTTTTTCATTTCAATTTAAAATCCTAAATCAATATTATCATTTAAAAGATTTTTTCCTTAATAAGATTAGTGTATTTTTTTAGATTTAAGGGATATTTGATTATGTCAATATTTTAGTGGTTTTTTATTTAAAGTTTGTATTGAAAGATCATACGTATCGGCGATTAGACCATAAAACTTCACATCATAGGCTAAATCGAATAGGATATGAAACGGTTGAACCACAGTTAAATTATGATTTCAGAATGAAAAACTCTACTACCAACTTTCTCGATATGATTTTACAATCCTTTGGTTCAAACAATTCTTTTACACTGGTGGAAAAAAGAGTTTTAAGGAACTTTTTGAACTATCTATTGCAAAAAAGTATAAGTTAGTAAGCGATAACGAGAATATGTGATCTCATGAAACCCAAAATACACTTTGCAACTTCTATCTTTTAAAATAAATGTATGCTATTCATACCCGTTATTCATCAACTTAATGAGTAACATACATTTCATGTAATATTATTTCCATACTTTTTTATTTATTGAATTATTTCCATACTTTTTCATACCCGCTATTCATACCCGTTATTCATCAACTTAATGAATAACATATATTTCATGTAATATTATTGCCATACTTTTTTATTTATTGAATTATTTCATGAAAAAAAATTTTGATGCATGAAAATTACTACATTGTTGCTAGACATGTCTGCGATCTGAGAATCATTTGGGAAGTCTGTACACAACACATTGTCCAACTAACTATTAGCGACAGGTTAGCATCATGTCATATGTATTTCAAATCAAGCAACTTCAGATTTATTGCACTACAAGAAACTGCACTTTCTGCGACGAATTCTATAGCGACGATAGGAAATTCGTCGCAGAAAGTGTACAACTTGCAATGAATTTCACTTTTTCGTCGCAAATTGTGTGAAATCTTTTTACGACGAATGTATGTCGTCACAGAAAGTATGTAGACTTTCGGCGACGGTTGTTTGTCGTCGCAGAATGTATGTAGATTTTCTGCGACGGTAGCCATTAGTCGCAGAATATTTGGGAGCTTTGTGCGACGGTTGTCTATCGTCGCAGTATGTATGTAGACTTTCTGCGGCGATTGTGACGTTTTTCTTTCCGGATTTTGTTTTCGAACGAAGGAATAAAAAGAGGGGGTCCCCGATGGTCTCGGGTGGACGGTGAAGGAAGCTCGACTATTGTCCGATCTGTTCCAACAACGGTGAAGGAAGCTCGATGGCTCGCCAATGCCCTCTGGCAGCGGCGAATCGGCTACATCCACGGGAGGACGAACATGATCTGCTCTTCCGACGAGAAAAGCGAAAGA